CACTTACCTAACAATGATCTACACTTACCTAACAATGCTTACTACCTAAAGAGTTGACTAGTAAGTGACGAGGCGTTTATATCCACTTATAAATCGTTGCATTTAAAACAGCCAATTTTCCAAAAAAACGCACTTCATCTGCGCATCGCCAACTATAACCTCATGATGCAATAACATCCTAACACCAGAACTAACTATAATTGTTTTGTGGTTGGACTTGAAAATGTGAATCAACAGTCGGACAAGCGAAGTAAGGAACGAGCGAGCGAAGTAAGGAACAGGAAGCGTTCATTCAATTAATTTCAATTCATTATTGTACGGTGTTATTGATGTTATTGCCGACCGAGAGCGTGTGCCAACTCAGCGCCTCGAACTGACAGGTCGTGAGATCGAGTCCTGACGTGTGCGTGGTTGTTAGTCCCTTATCTTTCATGCATGTGTTTTGTTCGCGGATGGTCTTGAGTCTGCTGATCACAGACCTAGGAGCCCACATGTCCCTAGGGCCCTCCCTCCACTCAGTCTAGGGAAATTTCACTGTGACATGTGCTGTGACCAACCCTTGCCTTCCAACCTGGCATGTTTCTCACCATGCATCACAAATCTCTGATGTATAAAACTTGAAAATACTCAAAATATTAATTTATTCCTATGCAATTGAGCAAAATAATCCTACACAGAATTTGAGTAACTGCGTGTGTATGTGTGTATGTATGTGTGTGTGTGTGTGTGTGTGTGTATGTGTGCGCGCATGTATGTAATATGTTTTCGGATCAAGCCAGAAGAGTATAAGAAAATTCCAAAAATGCTTTTGCGTGAATTAGCGCTGCGATATTACTGAGTTGACGGAGAATTGAACCAAACGCCACCTAAACAGATCTCCAATGGTTGATTAAACTCCAATGGTTTTTGGTCCACGACGCCGTAATTTTCTTCTACGAGGATGGCAACACTGTTCTGAAACATGTGACACAAGTAGATCTGTCAATAGTGATGCTGCATTGCAAGAAGGAAAGCGTTTCGTCGTTACACGTACGTACAGTAATACCTCGGAACTGATTAAATTAGAAGAACGCAAAGTGAACACGGAGGAAGCCAGAATTGTGAGTAATGTTAGAGAACAGAAGCACATGCGTACCCGGCTTTGCACAATTACGTCCTTATGAGTGC